CATCTATAAGTCCCATTTTTGCCAGCATCGTAGTTGCAAAATGGGAATCCATAAAAACCCCATTTTGCATTTGGACGCATCTCTTTTGCTTTTTTGATAGTTTTGACGAAAAATTCCCTAAATATGCAAAAGAGTAGTAATTCTTTGTCACCTCCCATTGTTTTCGGTCTCACTCACTCAGATGCTTTGTTGAACTCTTCCTCAGCAGTTTTTTTAATTTCTTGGTCTTTTAATCCTGGATGAAGTTCTTTAGCGAGCAGAATTGACTGGTTTTGGAAAACCTTAACAGAGTATAACGCAATTATAAGTGCAATAAAAATATTAATGTGATGAGGAAGAAATCCAGGATGGAAATTTATCATGGAAATGATAAAAGGAAAACCAACTTGCTTAGCTCCCCAATCGTTCTGATTATAACGTGGGCGCCACTCTTCTAGATCGATAACAGCTAAGCCATCAAATTCTTCATTCGGAATAAGATTAGTGATGTTTTTCTCCACCTCTGCTAGATGAGCATCCAAAGAGCATTTCTAAATTCTTGTAAATAATTTTAATATTTTACGTTATTTTATGCCACTACATCGTACTTGTGGAAGGCCGCCGTTGATGGGCTGGCTAGCATTGTACTTTTTATAGTAAGGATATAGGCCAAACTTGGATTCGTAGAAAATCACAATCTTATCGCCTTGGAATGTGTAATCTGAAAGCTTCGTAAACTTGCCATTGGAGTGAAATCCATGGATCAAGTTCTAGATATATAGACACAACTTACTTGTATTTTCTTTAATTTTGTATGTTTGGAAGTTTATATGATGAGTAGAATTGTTTTGACATTGCTCTGCAGGGAAGTTCCAGTATACCTGTATATATCACTTATACCTAATTAATGTATGTGGGACTCCAAGGATACTCACATCAAGTCCTACCAAAAGCCTTGGCAACGTAATTGTGAGTAAAGTAAGAGTTATGCAAAGCGTCATCCCTTCTGAATAAGTTATATTTATCTTTTTCTCCGAAATTTGCATATCTTGTCCGTTAGTGGGCAGTGTTTGGAGGTTAACGTACCTGGTCAGCCAATGAAGAATGCAGTACTGTGTTATGACGGTAGCAACCTCCTTTTACTCATTTTATAGAGACTGGTGCTTTTCAAAAAGCTGCTTTCTAGCGGAGGATATGTTTGATCAAGTCTATACCTGAATGTTATGCATACACAAATAAAAGACTGTCGTTTTTTTCACATCAAAATGAGCGTCACTGCCTCATTTTCTCATTTGCAGGGTAAGCCGATCACACGCGCCTAGACACTCCTAAATTATAGCCTAGATACTTGGAAGAGCCAGGGATATATGTTAACAAGAGATATCACTATATTATACCAATTCTTATAATACCATTTCCACTCAGCTTTAGGATAATGCGCAAACGTACGTTTTACAGACGATTGCACTAGGGTCTAATTTCTGGTCAT